CTTTCCTCGTTATTCACCGAGTTCAGCGAGTTGGGAGAGAGAGAGAGAGAGAGTTTACGTGAACCCTGCAACAGGTTGTACAAGCGCATGTGTTTGTGGGGATGAGCGTGAGAGTGGGTGGGCGAGCGAGCGAAAAGGCGTCGAAGGGAAGGGGAAGGGGCTGGTCTCTAATTTTCTGTCTTCCATCTTTTCCGCAGCAGTGCCCTGCTCACCCACCGGCGGCACTGCCTGGTCATCGCTTCAGTCCTATGCCCTTGACGCTGCTTCTCCCTTTTCTGCCCCTGCCTCCATAACGTTCATACCTTTCCATTCTCTCTTTTTCTTCGGCGGTGCACCGTTCAAGGCAAAAGACTTTGCGATCACCCAGGGGAGAGGCGGCGGCGGCACAGCGAGGGGAGTCGAACTCTGGTGCTCTGATTACAAGCGCTCTGCCCGCGCTCCCCGCGCGGCCGCGCCCTGCAGCAGCAGCTGCTGGCTTTGCATTCGATGTGGCCGTGGCGAGCCTTTGTGCCGTCTTCATCCCTCTGCTCCTTGAGCAGCATCGGCTGGGCCCCCACCCCAGAGCCCTCCTGCCCCGACTCCCTGCTCGCCGCCCCCCGCTCTCGCGCTCTGCTGATTGCCGTGGAATGAGTTTCTCGCCTAGCAGACACCGTGGAGGCCAAGCATCGCACAAACCAGGAATGTCATAATTTTTGCTCCAATTGCTCGCGCACCGGCTCTGTAGCCTGCTCTGGTCCTGCCATACAGCCCGCAGGCGTTCGCGTTCCCTCACGGACCGCCCCCGCCGCGCCCTGGTGGTGCTGCTGCGCGCCGTGAAGGCAGGTCGAGTGTACGCCGATTGCGGGCATACCACCAAGGGGATGGCTCTGCCGATTGCCGGTCGCGGACGTGGCGAGGGGGAAAACGAGGGGATATGCGGGAGAAAAAGAGAAACAGGCGATTATTGCGGATATCCACGGGAAGGGCGTGTAGGGCTTTTTCCCTCCTCCGGGCTGAGTGCCGAGTCCGTAGCCAACATATAAATTTCATCAGGACTAAAAAGCATCTAATCGGTATATTTCCTTTGCTGGTCATGGGCCGTAAAACAAATGTCGGTGGAGGGATTGAAAGTCGGTAAAAGTAATCTGAACATTATTTGGGTTGTACATCTCGAGCGAATTGGACATTGTTTGTGCTCCCGTTTACTCGGTTTACTCTCCTCGCCGTTTATTGTTGACATTATCGGACGAAGTATATATTTATTTCAAGGATGATGATGGAGCGTTTTCGCGCGAATCCCTGCGATCCTCAAAACTTGTTGTATTGTGTGAGAACGGAAGTAGTTTGGTGATTAGTCGTCGTCGTCGTCGTCGGAGCAGAGCGGGCGAAAGTCTTGCAGCAGGGGTCTGAGGGGTCCGCCTCCCCCCACCCTCCCCTTCCCCTCGGAGCCCTCTCCTCGCACGCAACTGGTGTCCCAGAAAGAGATAGCACTCGGCATCTTGTTTGCTCTGCCGCTCGGCTGCTCCGGGCCGGCTAGCTCCTATAGCTCTCGGGCCAGAGGCTTACTTAACCCATCATAGCAGGGAGGAAGCTGCCCTCCTCCCCTCCGCAGGCAGCAGCGGGCAGCCCTATGGCCCTTGGCCCCCACAAACACCAATTTTGACCGCGATGATTCCAAGCTGAAACGTCAAAGAGAGATATGAGTTTTCCCATCACGCAAAGAACTTCTTATCTTGAACCTTACTGATGATGCGAGTGATAGAGGGCGAGCAGCTGCTTTTCCTAAAGAAATAATTGCGTTGGTATAAATTTGTCTTTGGGCTTCAAGGGGGAGGTCTCCTAGCTGAGCAGAAGAGAAAGCAATCGCGGGGCAGCTCTCATACTGTTGTAATACCCTATAACATACTCGTTTAGTGAAGGTCTTTGTTCTTTGGAAGTCTCGTGCGCACCGTGTACAGTAACGAGTTTTTTACCATTTTAGAAAATAACAAGGGTCTTCACATGAGAGGTACGAGACACAGAGATGGCGGTGCTGCGTTGCTGTACGGGTGATAGAACCTTATACGACCCTTTCATGCTGCGATTCAACTTACTCCCCTCCCCAACCCCCTCTCTGCATCGTTCACGCTTCGCTCTGCAGCCCCCGGGCTGTAAAAAGGAACGTCCCTCTGGAATCTTGGCTGTGGGGATTGGGGCACCGGGGGAGAGGGTGGGGGGACCGGGGTGCCTTTAATTGCTTCTGCGTGAGCGTCTCAAGGCGTGCCTGAAGGTGCCTGATATTGGATGTGGACTGCAAATAAATAGACAGTCAAACATGTTGATTGTTTTTTGTTGTTTCTTGGCGGGGGGGGGGATAAGCAACTGCAGTCGACCGTTGCTGCACGTTATAACATATATGTTAGTGGAGTGTGCACATTTTCAGCCTCTCCAGTTGTTTTAAACCCTTCCCGCCCGTCGTACACGGGGGGGCTCCCAGCTGCAGTGAGCCGGAACGCAGTTTGTTCCGGGAATTATCGGTCGGGGTCGGGATTCGGTCGGGCCTATACATGGCGGGGTTTAGGAGAGGGGCCGTGGCGCCCATGTGCTGGCCGGGCGTGGACCTATTAACAACGGAACAACACCGGACACTCTGAATTAGCAAAGATTAAAAGCAAACAAACAATGTGCGGTCGAGTTCGACGCGATACGCCCTGCGAGAGGCCATACACGCATCGGACCGTGTGAGCCACCTGCGCGGGAACAACGCCCAGCAGCGGGGCTGCGCTTTTCAGCTTCACTTTTCGCTGCTGCAATGCGAAAGCGCACCTCAGTGTTTTATAACATCACGGGCAACATTGCCTACTCTGGAAACTCGGGTGTGAGACAGTCTAACACCAAATGGTGTTAGGCAAAATACCTCACACCAAATGGTGTGAGACTAGTTGTGCCTCACACCAAATGGTGTGAGACCCTCTGTGTCTCACACCATTTGGTATGAGAAAGTATCACTCCATTTGGTGTGAGGCACAACGAGTCTCACACCATTTGGTGTGAGGTATGTTTGCCTCACACCGTTTGGTGTGAGGTATTTTGCCTAACACCATTTGGTGTTAGACTGTCTCACACCTGAGTTTCCAGAGTATGTGATTTATGCGTCGCAGAGTCAGCTGGCAGCTGGCGGCGCCTTGTTCAGCTGCAGCCGCTGTGCGGAGGGTGGGGCGAGGGTGGAGTAGGCGCCGGCGCCCACTAGAGGCACAGCCCCTGCTCACGCATCGTACGACGTCTGGGTGGAGTGTACCGGATCAGCCAAAGCAATCGAGGGGAAAGCACTTGTGCTTCTGAACAACGTTTGCCATGTGTTTGGTTCTATATTAAGACCCATGATCATCGGGTCAGGTACACTCCCATGATATGGCAGCCATGACCCGCGGGTTCAAATCAGCGAAGATCCGCAGATGAGCTCTTATCGAGAACCAAACGAAATTTGCACGTATGTTTTGGTCAACGAAATTCGGAAACAAATTCATTCGCGATACGAGATGCCTCTGATATTTAGAAGGCAGAACTGATCGACCCAAAAAATGTGATCTCAATTCAAGTATTGCTCTTAAAACTTTGAGCCCCATTTCTTGTTTTAGGTCCTATTTGTTCCTTAAAACAAGAAATGGGACTCAAAATTTTAAGAGCAATACATGAATTGAGAACACATTTTTTGGGTTGATGGCAAATGGCACTCACTTGAGCTGCGTCCTCGCCAGAGGGTCGCTTGGGTCTCTGAGCCTGCGCAGAGGTCGCGTTTTGGTTCTCTGCGCAGACTCAGAAATCCCACAGCGACCCAAACGACCCAGACGACCCAAGCGACACTCTTGTCTGGACGCAGCTCATGTGCTCGCAGGTACTCGTGTCAACATCGAGCTGGACCCAATCACCGCCACCAGCTCCACCTTTCCCACGCTCGCGGTCGCGCTGCCCGGGCCCGCGTCGCGTCCCCCGCGGGCTCACAGCATCCGAACACAAATTACGGCATTTTTAGGAGGTGGCCTTGTGACCGAGTTGAGGTTAGAAAGCTGTGTACATCCTGATAAAGATGTACCTTATAGGGAAAGATGCTACACACACCCAGAAATCCATAATTCGTTAATGAGATATCAAAGGAGTGTTTGATTTTTAAACAACTTCCGACGATTCAAAGATATATTTCTAATCGTTAATCAACTTGAGCGCCAGAGTAATTACGCGGGGTGGTTTTCCCGTTGACGTCTATGTGAGACTTAACGTGTTATTAAAGGAAAAATTCCAGTATATTCAAATTTATCGGTCAATAGGTGAATAAACTCTAAACATCCATGAACTTAACTCACGTCCCTTACCTTGTACATCTGCGGAATTTTTCAAATTCGAAGTTAAATACGTCGTTACTCGCTCCGCGCTGACAGGCAAGCCCGCCCGCAAGCCAGCATGCGTCAGAATAACCGAAGCAAAATTACGGGGCCTATGGGGACACCCTAACAGCCATACATATTTTTGGGGGGTTGAGGAGAGGGCGTAAGTGGGCTAATAGCCGCGCCGAGCCCACCCTCCCGTGTGGCAGCGCTGTGAAGGTTGGGCTAGGCATGCGGCGCTGAATTGGGCCCAGTTTAGGTGAAAAGCACCAGCGAGGGGTCACTCATTCAAGAGCACTCTGTGGTTTGTGGCGGGTCGCGGACCAGCTGAAAGGCAAAAGCCCACTCAACTATTGCGCCAATGCCGCCGCGGGGCCACCCATGGCCAGCAAATCTCTTTGCTTAGCGTGCAAAACTCTCTCTCTCTCTCTCTCTCTCTCTCTCTCTCTCTCTCTCTCTCTCTCTCTATCTATCTCTCACTCCCTCTGTCTACTTTTCCTTGAAGTTCTGTCCCTCATCACTCTCTGGGCAGTGAGCAGTGAAATGCGAGGAAGATCATCTAGTCCAACAGGAAAGAGGAAACGACAGAGAAATCACCCCGACCCGCCGCGTCCGAAATAGCCGGAGGAAATGACTCTGCGCTTCTTTCCTTTTTTGCAGCGATCCTCAACATCCTGTGCCAGCACTTCCTCCGGCGCAACGTGTCGGCCATCCTGCTCCTCAGCAACTCTGAGACGTACGGCCGGGAGACGGCCTCGGCCGAGTACTTCATGCAGCTGGCCGACTACCTGCGGATCCCCGTCATCGCCTGGAACAACGCCGGCCTGGAGCGGGTGAGTCGAGCGGCAGGAGGGCGCGCCAAAGGCCAACGGGGTACTTCACAATAAATTTAAGCACACAAATTTTTCTGTTTATTTACTTTTTCTGATTTTGTTGATTTTTTGTGATTTTTTTTTATGATAATCTCTGACAGCTTGTTATTTTTTGATTTGGTTTTTGATTTTTTTTCCTTTGTTCTAATTTTTTTGTGCACCTCTTTTTGGTGAAGTATACAATACACCTTGGCGGGTGCCGCGCAGGCACCCTCCAACGTGCAGAGGACAGACACATTTGGTCCTGTTTAACGATCACCTCGAATATGGGTCCTTAGTGAAGCAAGCATGCCTGCCGGGGTCGCTCGTGGGCCGTCCGGCGGCGGCAGGCCGCGGGATGCGACCGCGCGACAGCTCACACCCACACCCACCTGCTCGGCCAGGCCGAGGGCCGGGCGTCTCGCGGCCAGCTTGTTCATTTGGCGCCCTGCCCCTCTACTCGGCCGTAACTCGGGGGATAACTTATTCATGACCCGGCCCCTGCCGCCGCCACGCACCAGAAGCCGCGTCGGGCGGCTCGCGCGCCGCGCTGCGGAAGAGGCGGCAGGGTGCCAGCGTCGTGAAAGGTCATGACGAAAGCCGTCGTGCGTCACAAACACTCACAGAAAAACAATGTGTCAGGGTCTGTGAGCGAAGAAAGATTTCCTCCTCTGCCCACAGGCCATGCACTTGCAACGCGGCCCACTCTTGTGACAAGTACACTGGTAAAACAAGTGTGCAAAATTTGCACACCAACATGTGCAAGTTATGATTTTGCACATTACATTACATTACATGGTGTTTAACGCAAGTTTGCACACTTGGACACACAGTTCTATCAAGCTATCAGTAGGAAACATATGGTATGCAGCTGCTATACTTTTCGGAAGTGTCGAACGTGTAAATACTAATTGACGGTTAACTTAGACACCACTATGACTATGTGTCGATAAAATGCGCACTTAAACATCAATTGACGAGCAAAATTAAACACCGTTTTACCAGTGTGGGACACAAAAAAAATGTCACAGAAACTAACTACGTGTAGCAGACTCTTTTCTTTTGGTGATGTTAACGCTGATAACAAATATGTGCAACAAATATTGGGCTGGAAATTTGAATACTGTTTAACATTAAATGCGAACAGTTAAGAAGGAGTTGAACACTTTTCAGTACAACATTCACATATCCAGTCAAACAAGTGACCATAGCGTTGAGCCTCGTGTCGAACACTTGCATGAGCTAGTTTCCGAGTACTATACATCCGCAATGAAATTGTCTTAGCAAGGAGCGCTCGACAAAGTCCCACATTTGTTTTTCCTCCTAGCCGCAGTAGAAATTATAGAAGGCCGAAGGCCGTGAGAATAGAACAATTTTCGTATAAACGTGTGTATGCCGCCCGCCTATTCTTGCAGATCGCCTTAAAAACAAACATCCTCTGTTGGTTTTGCATGTATATGTAGAGCACCACACGCGCGCGTCTTTCTCTGAAGTTTTATTCCCGCCGCCGTGTGTAAACAAATAACGTATTCCGAGGCGCGCGCGCGTCGTGTGATTTCGGGGGGCCGCGTATGTGATGCTGATGGGAGCCGAGGGTCATACGATACGGCACGTGACCCGGCCGCGATGTGCGCTGTAGGCCATGTGAGAGAGAGAGCGAGAGAGAGAGGGGGCCTCTGAGAGTATTCGCGCTGCTCAGCTTTCAGCCGGGATACCGCGAGACCAAGAGTGCCCCTAATGCCCCCACTACCCGCCACGCCCCTTACGCCCGGCCTCGCTGTGCTTGCCGCGTACACCCCCGTCCTGTGCCACGCTTCATTGGTACTATCGGATCAGCTCGAGAGGCATACGCACCGCGTGTCTTACGTACGTTTGTAGTCGTGCACGTGTGTGTGGGAGGGAGGGGGAGGGGGGAACAAGTCAAGAGTCCTTCCGTGGCTGAGGTAAGCAAGGAGACAAGGAGCTCAGCTAAAAGGCGCCCCCCCCCCTTCTCTCTCTCTCTCTCTCTCTCACTCTCTCTCTCTCTCTCTCTCTCTCTCTCTCTCTCCCGTGCCTCGGCGCACACAAAGTCGCAAAGTGGCTAAAACTAGCTGAGAAGACTCAACTGCTCAACTGGCGGTCTTCTTCTTTTTATATCTATATATTTCCTCGCTTAAAGGTGCGAAATTGCACAGTTTCCAAAGGCTCTGGAGTCGGACAGTCATATGGTGTCCGGGGGCAGCTGGGCTGGGCGTCCGCCGCACGTGTGCGGAACGACCGAAGGGAAGAGAGAGAGAGAGAGAGAGAGAGAGAGAGAGAGAGAGAGAGAGAGAGAGAGAGAGAGACGTAAAGACGCTATCTGTCCGCGGGTCCAGCCCTGGGTGGGGGGAGGCGCGTATTCGGGGACGGGAGGGCGCCGGGCGTCAGTAAATAGAGGGGAATAGATTGAACACTGTGAAAACACGGGGTGTTTGAAGCTGGGCGGTTTGATGGATGGGCCGCTGCCCCTGCCGATCGACACCGTGTCTCTCGTCACACGGCTGGGCGACGTATTCACCGCGACCCCTCATGACTTTTCTCTGTACCGGGGGCCCGGATGATATCGACGTGTCCTGCCGTTCCTTTCCTGAACCATAATGAGTCCAAGCAGAACATTTTCTATCGCCAAGTAGTCCTTTGAAATACGGGCCATTGAATCCCGCCCTTTTAAGGCATGGCATGGCGGTCGAGCCTGCTGGACGCGAGGTACTGCGTTCTCGTTTTATTGTCTTCTCTTTTTTTCCCACCGTACGATAATTATTAAATCATTAAGTCCCTTTGAAATCAGTCCGGGTGGGGAGGGGGGGGGGGGAGGTTGAGAGAAGGGGGCGGTAAAAGATGTTGATTGTTTGAGCACGACCGCAGTCGTCGGACACGGCTTTTTGTAAAAATAATAAAAAATTCTCTTGTTTTGTTTTTGAAGAAAATTTGTGTCATCTGGGTATTTCCATATTTTGTGGCCGTCGGTTTGTCACCCGTCCCGCCGGCCCGTCCAGCTGATCGTGCAGAGTAATTATCCCCCTCCAGTGCAGATCCTGCTCCGGCCAGGCTCCGGCCAGGCTCCGGCCAGGCTCCGGGAGACGCGCACCCTGAGCCCTGCGAGCCCGGAGCTTCATATTCTAATCAGCCTCGCTGTCGCCCCATTAAGCCCCTCGACGCCCGCAGGCCTCCTTCTTGAAGCGTCCGGCCGAGGAGAGAAAAAAAAGTAAATGAATAGACGGAATGTAATGCATGTCGAGTTGATGATAATAATGAAACTCGGGGACAAAAGTATAAGAAAGAAAATTGCGGCGCGAGTCGAGAAACGTCGGGGACGAAGTATGGTATGCGCGGGGTTTATTTCTAACTCCGTGCCGTTCTCCTGCCCACAGCGGGCGACCCGGTCCAGCCTGCAGCTGCAGCTGGCGCCCTCGCTGGCGCACCAGACGGCCGCCGTGCTCTCGGTGCTGCAGCGCTACAAGTGGCACCAGTTCTCCGTCGTCACGTCGCAGATCGCCGGCCACGACGAGTTCATCCAGGCCGTGAGGGACGCCGTGCACCGTGTGCAGGGCACGTTCAAGTGAGTCGGCGAGATTAATTCTGACAAGAGAAAAGTATTTTCAGAAATTTTTTCATGTTTTACATTCTTTTTGTAAGTTTTATTTTATTTCCAAATGTGTCTGGAAATATGTATTTTTTTTTAGGGAAAATTTCTGTACGTCTCTTGACTTTTTCCTTGTGCCATCAGGCTGGTGCTGCTGCAGGCGCTGGTCGTGTCGCCCCACGAGCCCGACCTGGGGCCGCTGGTCTCCTCCGAGACGCGCATCGTCCTCCTGTACTGCACCCGGGAGGAGGCCAAGACGATCCTGGGGGCGGCGGCCAAGCTCCGGCTCAACGGTGAGTTTAGAGAAACGACACCTCACTATCCCGGGCTGTTGGGCTTGTGCTTGTGCCTTCTCCGCCCGACCTCATGCCGCCCGACGACTCGTGGGTAGGCAACACGGCGGACACGCCTGCCTCGCGCTGCCTACCTCCCGGGCGCCCCGGTAGCACAGCCGACGGCCGGGCCGGACGGCGCTTTCCTTGTGGTCGAGTTTGGTACTGCTCTGATGACGCTCATATGAGAATCGTTTGGGTTTCGCATTAGGTCAGGACGACACGGAAAACTTTAAGCCGCCGGGGGATCCCGAAGGAGTTTCTCTGTTTCTCTGTCGGCGAGGCGGGAGTAAGGCGCGGCGCTGTGTGGGCAGCGGCCGAGGAGGGGGTTTACCACTTTTTATTTAGTTTGGTTACACTCCGTGTTGTTGCGCGCGCAAAGTCCTGTAACTACCTCTGGAATTTCTAAACTAGCGGCTTTTAAAGTTTGTGTCGCCCGGCCGGCGGCGCGGCGCGTCTCTATGGGCGTCTCGGGGCCAGCCGGGCGCGGCGGCCTCCAGCGCGGCGAGCTGCTGGTTACCCCGGC